TGCGTGCGCGTGTGTGCGTGTGCGTGTGCCTGTGCGTGTGCATGTGCCTGTGTGTGCGTGTGCGTGCGTGTGCGTATGTGTGTATGTGTGTGCCTGCGGGCGTGCGTGTGCGTGCGTTCATTTTGTTCGTTCGTCACATGAGGGGGTGGCGCGACGGGGTGGCCCACCCTTAGAGGCCAGGAGAGCCCCCAGGAAGCCTGCCTGGCCTCCTAGAAGCCTCGCCGCCTGCTCAGAGACGGTCGCAACCCTCGCGGCTCCCCCCTGTGGGCTCAAGCATCAGCGAGCAGCGGGCGCTGCTGCGAGCCGGACGGCGCGCCGCCGTCGGGGAGACGTGAGGCTCGAGCTCGGCGGTGGGAAGAAAAAAGAAATGCCCATGCCGCTGATGCTCGTCCTGGAGAGCCCTCGTCGCCACGGTCGGGTTCTCCTCGAGGCTCTGGTCAGAGCGCGCCGTGGGAGAGGCTCGGGGAGCAGCGGCGTCGGTACCTGTTCGTCGCCCCAGCTTGGGGGACTCGGAGCTTGCCTGACGGGGCCGCCCACCAAAAACGGGGCCTGGTCTGAAAGAGTCCAGCGCGAGCCCCCACTGCGGGCACCTCACGGGTATAAACTGGGCCGTCGCCACTCGCGCCTGGGCCGTCAAAGGTCTGCGGGGTGTAAACCCGAGCTCCGGCAAGCTTAGAATAACAATAGAACTGCATAAGCATTAGCTTCCAGAGCTCCGCGCGGATTTCTTGGATGGGCGCTAGAACCCCCTCCCTGGCGCGCGGAAGCGCCACCAGGGGGGCACAGCGCCGATCCGTGAAACCCGCGAGCAGCTCCGAAAGTTTATGTGAATGCCGTTTCTTCCTATTAGTAGTTCCCTTCTTCTTATCATTAACAGTAGCACCATTAGTATTACTCGTCTTGTGAGTACCATGACTATGATTATTGTCATTATTTGAATAGTGGTATGTGTCTTCTTTGCTACGTGATTCTCTTATTATCATTATTACTGTTAGTACGATCCTTATTATTTTTAGTATTATTATCATTAGTATTGCCATTATTATTGCCATTATTATTATTATGATTGTTATTATTATTATTACTAGTATTATTATTATTATGATTAGTATGATTATTATCATTATTATTATTATTATCTTATGTTTTTGTTTTTCTTATTGTTCTTCTCCGAGAGCTCGAGCCTTACGTCACCCCAGCGCTACTACCAGTCGGACACTCTGCCGCTGGCGCCAGCCAAGGCAGAGGAGGCGCCGGCCCAATCCTCCCAAGCGCTGCGCCCGTCGTCCGCTCGGCCCATCATGCGCTGGGCGCTCCAGTCCCGCGCAGCGCCAGGGGACCCGCTCCTGTAGAAGAAAAGACCAGGCCCCCTCGAGCCACGAAAAAATCACGACGGGAGGTTTTTCGCTACTTTTCACCTCTGGGGGCCCTCACTGGGCCTCGGGACCGTCAAAAAAAGATTCAGGATGAAAAACTGGTCCTGGGGAATGGATCTGGACCTCTGGGAGTCGCGCCATGAAAAAATCATGACATCGGGGGTCTGGGAACGGCAAAAACATAAACTGTCGACGATCCGCGAAGATTTCTTGGATCTGCGCCGGACAGCCCCTCCCTGGCACAGTCCAGCGCGGATCCAAGAAAACCGCGCGGATTCAAGAAGAGTGTACGTTTATACCGTTTTTTTCTCGTTCTATCCTTTCTCTCCGCACCGGCTGGCCCAGCAGTCTGCTGCTGTCTGTTAGAGGAATTCCTCTTTGAGAGAACCGGCGGTGCACACCAACGTCGAGGAGCCCATGGCATCTCGGAATGTGCTCTGCTGGGGGACGTCTGCGCGGGTGGTCCACCGGATGGTCTCCCAAATCGTCGCGTTCTCGCTGCAGGCCCGCAGAACCTGTCAGGCGGTCTCCTGGATGACCAGCCTCCTTCGCTGCAAGACCTCCCGGACCGTCCTCGGCCCGACCACCTGCGCGGTCCGCGCCTTGTGCCCACGCGCTGGCCTCGGGCCCTCCGGTGCCGAGCGAGCAGCGAGCGAGCAGCTGCAAGGTCTTCTCGTGCTGCTCCAGGGTCGCCCTCACCTTCCCAGACCCCCGGCGTCATGATTTTTTCATGACGCGACCCCCAGAGGTCTGGACCCATTCCCCGGGACCGGCTTCTCATCCTGAATCGTTTTTTGATGGTCCCAACGCCCGGTAAGGGCCCCCAGAGGCCGCAAATATAGAAAAACCGTCCGTCGTGATTTTCATGACTCGGGGAAGTCTGGGTTGGAGGCGGCCAGTGGATCTGAACTGGATGGGGCCTCAGGAATCGATCAAGAGGAGGGGGCCTCCCAGGGTCTGTCCACCACAGCTGATCAGCCTGGCTCGATCCCCAGCGGTACCCGGGCCCGAAGACGGCCCCAGGGACACCGAAAACCAGTGCTGGGCCACCTCCCCCGGCCGGCTCGAAACCAAAAGGTGCCCATACCGCTACTCCCCGGGCCCCTCCGCTCGGTGCGCTCTGGCCAGAACTTCGAGCCGAATCCCGACGGGGCGAAGCGGGGCCTCCCCCGGGAAGCCCCAAAGGGGAAAACCGAGGAGAGGCTAGCGGCATGGGCATCCTGTCCCCCCTGAGTTGCAGCCCTCACCCCAGACCTCCGACGTCATGATTTTGTTCATGACGCGACCCCCAGGGAGGTCCAGACCCATTCGTCGCCAGGACTGGCCTTTCATTCCGAATCGTTTTTGTTGGGACGGCCCCGAGGCCCGGGAAGGCCCCCAGAAGCCGAAGAGAGCGAAAAACCTCCCGTCGCGATTTTGCTCACAACGCGAGCGGTTCTGGGCTGTCCCCCTCTGAGCTGCAGCTCTCATTTAGAGGCATCCTAGATGGGGCCGGAATAGATAGGGTGGAAAAACCGCGCCACATCGGCGACACATCGGCGATGCATCGACGATGCATCGGCGATGCTCCTACGATGCATCGTCGACGTCGGCGATGCATCGGCGACGTCGACGTGAAGCAAACCGGGCCCCACATCGCGACGCATCGGCGATGCGTCGGCGATGCGGCGCGATCCTCCGACCCCGTCTGCTCCGACCCCATCTATTAAACATAAGAGGCTCCGAAGCCCTCGCCTCCCCGCCCTCGTGCTCCAGCCGGCCGACGGCCGCCTCGACGCGCTGCACCGCGGCCAGCGCGGCGCCCAGGCCGCCGCCGTTCTCCCGCGAGGGCGCCGCGCTGGCGCGGCCGGCAGCCGAGGCGGCGGCGCCCGCCGCGGCCTCCTCCGCCGAGAGAGGGGCCACAGGGACGCAGACTTTCTGAGTCGGCTGCGAGGCGGGGGGAAGTCTGCGCCAGCGGAAAGGCCTGAACGGGGGTGCCGTTCGGGCAAAGTGTGCCACCATGCAAGAGGGGGAGCGGGAGGAGGACGCGGCCGAAAGAAGTGGCGGAGGGAGCGAGCCGCTCGGGGGACCGGTCACGCCCCGAGCGTGTGGCGCGGCCAGCCCCGCCGGCGGGCCCGCGGCCGCTGCTGCGCCAGGTCTCCAGCGGCGTCGGGGCCCAGTGCGGGGGGTGGGGCATCCCAGGTGCAAGGGTGCAAAACGAACGATACCATACCCAGGGACGCACACAGATAAATAGACACAAACCCCAGGATGTCCCATGCTGTCGCATCTTTACGGGGTTTACGCCTTCCGCTCCCCCACCTCCCATGTTTTCCCATTGTTTCCTGGGGGTCGACGCTTCTTTGTGTATGCGTGCTTTTCCCCACTCCTGATGCAGCTCTGCGCTGGACTCCGCGAGGGACGCCGTCCGCGCCCACGCCAGGTCCAGTCTGTCCGACAGGTCCTGCACCTCTCTTGGCGGCGCGCAGAGGTACCCATACCTCCATGCCCACACCCCCCCGCGCTGCGCAAAAAATCACAACGGGAGGTTTTTCGCTCTTTTCGACCTCTGGGGGCCCTCACCGGGCCTCGGGACCGTCCAAAAACGACTCAATGCAAAGCCGGTCGGGGGGAACTGGAGGTCGCGTCATGAAAAATCATGACGTCGGGGGTCTGGGTACCCTTCTCTGGTTTTCGCATTTGGGGGCCTCCTGGGCGGCCCTCATCGCCACCGCTGGCCTCGCCCCGAAAGCCTGGTCAGAACGCGCCCTGGGCGAGGTCCCGGGAGTAGGGGTATTGGTACCTTTTCGGTTTCCCCCCAAGTTCGGCCACGCGCAATGGGGGGTATGGGGGGGGAGAAGGCTTCTTAGAAGGAGGCTGCTTCTCGGAAGGCGCCGGCCTTACATGTATATATAGACCAGGCCGCGCCTTCTCAAAGCGGCCTCCTTCTGAGAAGCCTCCCCCCCTCCCCCCCGCAGACCCCCCCTCTGCGCCTGGCTGCACCTGAACGGTGAACAGGCACAGGCCTCACGCGCGATGGCGTGGCGACCTCACGCGGTGGCTTGCGCGGGCCGCCAGCGCGGCACGCTGCTCTAGAAACGAGGGCGCTCCCCCGGGCAGCTCGCGCCAATGTCCGCGCAGTCGAACCCTGGAGGCGGCCGGGGGGGGGGTCTGAACTGGCTGGGCCCCAGATAGTCTGTCAGGATGGAGGATGAAACCACATCCGCTCAAAATCGGTTCCCCGGACCCCTCCCGTGGTCCGTCTGGTGCAGCTTCACTGTTTCACCCCGGATCCGTTCCCGGAAACGGCCCCCGGAGACCGAAAAAGAGAAAAACCCTTCTCGAACCCAGCGCCTCCCATGAGATCCGACGTTGCAAAACAGCAGCAGCACCGCCAAAAATCACGAGCGGAGCCCGGGACCCCATCTTTCTGCGTCCTTGCTCGAGCCGACTCGATCTTTCAGGGTCCCGGGGCCCGAAGGGGGAGCAGAAGAGCCGCGGTGAAAAGGCTGCAACGCCAAGACCACCGGGGATCGAACCTGCCCGCCCTCCCAGGCCCCCGACAGCGACAGCGACGACGACGACGACGACGACGACGACGACGACGACGACAAGGACGACAACGAAGGGGGGAAGGAGGGACTCGTCGGGGAGTGGGCCCGAACCCATTCGCGCAGGGGGAGTGGCGGGGGCTTATGGCCCTGGATCGTGCACAGCACAACTTACGGCGCACCGACGGCGCAAACCATGGCGCCAGTGATGATGAGTCAATAGAGGCGCGCGAACCACGTAGCTGTTTCTGGCCCAAGTCGCCCCGCGGGAGAAAATGTCGCGGCGGTAATGCTGAAGCGCCCTCGGCTGGCTGAACTGGCAGGCACGACATGCGTGACTGCATCTGCCCTCGTGTAATGTACACATGCTACGTGTGAAGGAAAAAACTTGATCTGACATGGCCCGAATGAAAATGCACCGTCCCGACGGACAATGCACCGCCCCGACGGAAAATGCACCATCCCAACGGAAAACGCACCATCCCGACGGAAAACGCACTGGCTTGTTTTGGACTTACTACGTCCTGCCAGCAGATCTGAAAGTTTACTTATCACACCAAGAAGAGTTAGTAACACACCGAGAGGAGTTAGTAATGACTTACGAAGGACAAAACAGCGAGTTGTTTAAGAATTACAAGTCCAGCAGAGACTAAGCAAGTCCCCCGCCCATCCTGGGAATGCCTCCCAGGGGACCTAAACAGGAGAAAACCAGGGAATGGTTAGGTCAGGCATGTCCCCCTACAGGCGGATTTTGGACGAAATATAAGACAGTCCAACAACATCGACAATAGTCACACACAAAAAGAAACAGAAATCGTCCCCGAAATCTATTTTTTGCTATTTTTGAACGTTCCTCCTGTAGAGGGACAGGCCCGACTTCAGGGAAGGGTAGCATCATGGGCGCCTTCTCTGAAGGGGCCCTGAGACACACAAAAAAATACACCCTAATAAGGACTCCCCATATCTTCCTATATTTTCTGGGTTTTTGTCTTCCCCCCACTTCGCATATTTTCCTATATGTTCTTCGGGAGTCGACGATTAATTGTGTCTGTGTGTTTTTGTTCCCCTCCTGAGTTTCCTCCTCTGTTCGCCCGGCACCTGGCCAGAGAGGCGGGCGAACTCCTCGTGCTGCAGCCTGTGCCGCTCGGCCAGTTGCCGGATCCCGGTGCCCAGCGCAGCGCAGTCCGCGTCGACCGCCGTGCCGGGCCCGTCGGGCGAGTCGCCGCCGCCCAGGGCCTGCCGCGGGTTGGCCTCGGCGACGGCCGCGGCCAGCTCCCGCACCTGTCAGGCACTTTCTCTCCCACCCAGGACGCCCTCGCGTTGTGTAAAAATCACGCCGGGAGGCTTTTGTCGCCCTTGTCGGCCTCTGGGGGCCCGCCCGTATACGGGCCTCGGGACGTCAAAAAACGATTCAGGAAAAAAAACAGTCCCGGCGAATGGATCCGGGATTCCCCAGACCCCCGACGTCTTGATTATTTCATGACGCGACCCCCAGAGGTTTGAACCCATTCCCTGGGACCCGTTTCTCATCCTGAATCGTTTTTTGAAGGTCCCAAGGCCCGGTGAGGGCCCCCGGAGGCCGAAAACGGCGAGAACCCTCCCGTCGCGATTTTTCATGACTCGAGGGGGTCTGGGTCTGGGGGTCGCGTCATGAAAAAATCATGACGTCGGGGGTCTGGAACAGGCGGCGAAGACACCGCGCTTCAAGGGTACCGCGGATCGCCACAGCAAGGACCCGCTAACAAAGCCACGCGCGTTCGAGGAGCGCCGGGGCGGCCAGCGCGGGAGGCCATATGCAAGGAGGAGGAAGCAGAGGGAGTAGGAGGAGGAGGAGGACGACGACGAGGCGAAGGAGGCGGAGGAGGAGGAGGAGCAGGAGGACGACGAGGACAACGAGGAGGAGGAGGAGGAGGAGGAGGAGGAGGAGGAGGAGGAGGAGGGAGGAGGAGGAGGAGGAGGAGGAGGGAGAGGAGAAGGAGGAGGAGGAGGAGGAGGAGGAGGAGGAGGGCAAGGGGCAAGGGGCAAGGGCGCTGTGCGACGACCCCGCGCGACCCAAACGTTCACCTATGTTTTTTGTTGTTTCGTTTTTCATTTTTTTACACACACACACACACACACACACACGCACACACACGCACACACACACACACTAACAAAAAAAACGGCTGCAACCTGGAGGGAGGAGCGGGAGGGGAGAGACGGAGGGGGACAAGAGAGGAGATGAGAAGAGAAAACGCGCGGCGAACCTATCACAATCGGAGGTTCCGTGGGCCGCGCAGCCTGAAATATAGGGCACCCTCCCGAGTGAAAAGAGGGGGACGCAGTCCGCGGGAACGCCCCAACGCGGGCCACAAAGATGAGCAGAGAGAAGAGCACGAAAGAGAGGAAGGAGGCGAAGGGAGGAGACAGACGGCCAGAGCACAGTGCAAAGAGACCTGAACAAGCAGAGCCCATATCTGATATATAGATAGATACATATACGTACACAAGTATAAACCTGCAGACAAACGAACATAAAGTCATACACCCATGCAAACATACAAATATGCAGATACACATACATGCATGCATGTCTACATGCATGCATATACATATCTATATACATATATATAGATGTATGCATGGACATATGCATGTACACGCCTAGATATGCATACGCATCTTGATATACATATGCACATGCATACACATGTTCATATCTACCTACCTAGGCATATGCATATGCCTATACATCGACCTATACACACGTGTATATGTGTGTGCGCATGTATGCGTGTGCATATATTTATGTTTGTGTACACACATCTGGACATGTGTGCATGCACACCTGCGTACATCCGTACATATATACATACATATATGTATATACATATATGTATAGATGCACGTACATACATGCATGCATACATACATATATGCAGACATACACACCTATCTGCATGCGCACAACAATATATATATATGTATACGCCCGTACACTCATATAGTCCGACATACCTACATACATGGATATACACATGCAGACATGCATACAAGTATACATGCATACATACATATATGCATACATACATACATACAAGCTTACACACATGCATGCATGCATACATGCATGCATACATACGTAATTCTCCATAATTACACACATATGCATACATATATGTATATATATGTGTATGAGTGGCGGCATTGCGCCACGTGGGGGCCAGCGAGAGAGGGGAGGGGGGCGAGCGAGTGCAAAGGCAAAGGCAAAGGCGAGAGAGGGGAGGGGAACGACAGACACAGACGCAAAGCTGTGCACCCGAGAGGACGCATCGGCTAAGGCAGAACGAGCCGTGCCCCTCAGCACGCTCGCGAGAGGGCGGGAAATGTACCAGCACGCGTGCTGGCCATGGCCGACGGGAAGGGGGGGAGAGGGAGGGGAGGCGGGGGAGGGGGAGCGTGGTTCGTTTCGGTCAGTAAGCTTGCTCATCGTTTTGATTCGCAAATTTGTTCACATTCGCTGGCCTGGCACCGCTCGCAGAACTCCTGCTGGCGCCTGGTCGGCGCGCGCAGCGACATGGTATTATGTTGGGCGGGCTGAACAAATGCTGGGGGGTATTTCTCCACCAGCGAGATAACCGAATGTGGGTAACCATGCATGCGGGAGGATTTGAGAGCAGCTTCCCATGAGGATTGCAATAGACAGGTGTTTCATGTTGGTACGGGAGTTTATTCAAATTTGCCTGCCTAGCGCTATCTGGCAAAACTCCTGCTGGCGCCTGGTGGCACGCGCGGCGACGTGGGATTCATCAATTTCTCTGTATTATTGGGTGAGCTGGATAATGCTTGGGGGGGTTCTCCATCGGACTAATCCACCGTGGGCTACGCTGCACGCGAGAGGACTTATGAGCATCTTTCCACTGTGATTGCAATAGAAATTGCTTCGTTCTGATTTGCGAGTTTGCCCAGCAGTGCTAGGCATACGACGGGGGAGGGGGGCTGGCGGCTCACAGCTCCCCGCCCAGCTGACCAACGTCGTGCTTCCATGGCGCCTCACGCGTAGCGAGCACAGCGTTCCTGCACAAACGGAGCCAACACGATCGATGCAAATGTCGATGCTGGTGCCGGTGCTGGCACCGATGTTGGCGCTGTTGCCGGAGCCGACGACGGTGCTCAACTGCCCCTCTGCCGCACGATAGCGGGCAGGCCGGGACATCCAGGAGGAGCGAGTAGTCCTACCGGGATCAGGGCGTGGCCGTCGACGAGGCAGTGAGACGCTGGTGCTGCTGGATGCGCTGGAGGTGCTGCATGTCGTGCTGGCTGGACTGGTGCTGCGGCGCGTGTCGCTGCTGGTCGCATAGGTGTTGGTTCTGGTGGAGTTGCTGACTGCGCTGATGCTGCTGCGCGCGGTGCTAAGGGTCCCAGTCGTGGTACTCTCACTGGCGTTGCGGGTCACACTGGTAATGCTGAGCGTGACGCTGCGTTAGAGGGGGGACGACGGGTTCGAGGTTCGAGGTTCCAGGCTCGAGGTTCAAGGAGGGACGTGAGAGAGGGGGCGACAGATTCGAGGTTCGAGGTCTTCATGCGTTTTCGCAGGTCCTCGGTGGCTTTCCAGCCTCGGGATGCTTCCCGGCAGCTGCGCCTCGCCGAAGGCATTCCCCGGGGTGCCCCAATCGTCCCGAACGGCCGCCGGAGAGCCGCGCTATGACCCGAAAGCCAAGACCCCCCCGGTAGCAAGCCGCAGGCTCTTCGGCGGTGCGGGCTCTTCGGGCCCCCTTGTTTCGGGGGCGCGCCAACATGGATCGAGGGAGGTACCCTCCCCAAAATGCGGCCGGTGCCGCCTCGCTCGGCGGCGGAAATCCGCGATTTCCCATGGACCATGGAAACAAGACCCGTCGCTAATCCACGCCCCCTTAATCCATGTTTGCGGTCGCCAGATTATTGGCGATGGCGAAAGGGCGATTGGGGGTCGATGCAGTCCCCCCTCGAGCCTATCGTCAGGTCGAGCATGTCCTCCTACAGGCGGATCTTGGAAGAAACATGGAAGCTAGTCAAAACACATTCAAAGTCAGTCAGCGTTCACCGAAAAATCGCCCCCCAGACAATAGCTTGACTATCTCTGAATCTTCCTCCTGTAGAGGGACGTGCCCGCGTCGGCCCAGTTCTCGCAACATTTGTCCCCCCCGAGCCTGGCTGGAGAGGGTGGCGATCTCCTCGTCGTGCAGCCGGTGCCGCTCTCTCAGGTGCCCAATCGCGCTGCCCAGCGCCTCCGCGTGCTGGCTCTGGCCCGGGGGACAGGCAGAAGCCGCACGAGCAGAGACGTTCGGAGCTCCACGCGGACTTCCCGGGATCGGCGCTGGAGCCCCCTCCCCAGACCCCCCTTCGGGTCGTGAAGAAAACACGACGGGAGGCTTTTCGGTCTTCTCGCGTGGGGATTGATCCACATCCACCGACTGGGAACCGACGTCCTGGTGCCCCAGCGGGCGGTGGACATGGACGTGGTTTGGCCGCCGGGGGCCCGAATCTATCCATGTCCACCGTCTGTCGAGGTCCCCGAAAATTGATCCTCCAGGCGATGGCCACGTATAAATTCCCGCGCCGCGGGGGCCCGACTATATATCCAAATCCACCGCCTGTCGAGGTCCCCGAAAATTGATCCTCCAGGCGGTGGCCATCTACTACTTCTGGCCTCGGACAAGGGAACCTCCCCACGGGTGGCGCCCGCCATCGCCAGGGGATTGAACCACGCCTTCCGGCGCCAGAGGTGCCGCCAGAAAGGGGAGCAGCGCCGCTCCGAGAGCTCCGCCCGGGCATCCCGGAAGCTCTCATGCTCATGCCGCTGTCTGCTCCCCGGCTGGTTGCTGTGGAGCGACAAGGCCTGGGGGCCGCCCGCGCCGATCTCCGCGACGGAGGCGGCGAGGACGTCCACCTGAGCGACGAAAGGAAGCGGGCCTTGTGCGCGACGACATGGATGGCGACCCTTACGCGGTGGCTTGCGCGGCACGCTGCACTGGAAGCGAGGGCGCTCACGCGAGATCTTGCGCGGGCAGCCTACGCGCGAATGTCCGCGGAATCGAGCTCTTTTCTCTGCGCCGTCCATGATAAGCAATAAAAATCCCCCTGACTATTGGGAGGGGGCCTGAGCTAGGAGGGCCAAAAACATGAGGGACAAGGGGGTCTGTTCTGCAGATGTATCAGACCAAACCGCCCAGACGTATTGCCCCTAATGCGAAGACGGGGACCTAAGTGATGGCATGTGATCTTCGTGTTATCTGGGGAAGCCAAGAGGTACCAATACCGCTGCTCCCCGGACCTCTCCCAGGGTGCGTTCTGACCAGAATCTCGAGGCGAACCCAGCGGTGGTGGCGAGGGCCCCCGAGGAGGCCAAGAAAGGTGAAAACGAGGCCAGGGTAGAGGGATGGGTACCTTTCCCAGACCCCCGACGTTATGATTTTTTATGACGCGACCCTCAAAGTCTGGACCCATTCCCCGGGACCCGTTGCTCATCCTGAATCGTTTTTTGACGGTCGCCCGGTGACGGGCCCCCAGAGGCCGAAAATAATGAAAAACCTTCCGTCGTGATTTACTCGGGGGGGTCTGGGTTTCCTTCTCTGCAGGGTGCGCGGTGCTTTTGCTCTCGACGAGCTATCACCTGCCCCCTGCAGACTGTGCAATCTGCAGCTGCTCCGCGTGCTTCCCATGCTACGTTTGACTACGTTTGAACATTCCTGTAGAGGGACGCGCCCGACTTCCAGCGCGGGCGCGGCCGCAAGAAACCCTCGCGAGAAACACAACCCTGAAAACCCGCGCGCGAGGTGCACCTGAGGGGAATCCCGGAGCACCCTGAACGCAGCAGCTTCTTCAACGGCTGCGGGAAGTCACCGCGCAGCGCGCGGAGAGAAGAAACTAAGGGTACCCTGACGAAAAGGATATTGCTTCCTGGTGCGCGCCCCACTGTAATTCGTTTGCCCTCGACGAGCCCACCTGCCCCTGCAGGCTCTGCAGCTGCTCCGCGAGCTTCCCGTCCCTGTCCCGCAGCAGCCGCACGCAGTCGCCGACGTGGGCCAGCTGCCGGTGGTGCTGTTCCACGGCGGCTCGGCCCTCGGCCTCCCCCAGCGGGGCCGCGTCCGCGCCCTGCAGAGGATCGGCGGCGAACTCCTCCTCCCCCTTCCCCTCCCCCTCCCCCTCCCCCTCCTCCTCCTCCTCCTGCTCCTCCTCCTCCCCCCTCCCCCCTCCTCTCCCCCTCCCCCTCCCCTCCCCCTCCTCCCCCCCCCTCCCCCTCCCTTTTTTTGCCCGGACAGAACACCTGGGCGACACAACCCGAAGGGAGGTGCCTAAGGAGCCTGCATGAATTCATACGCAGTCGGACCTCGCAACATGAACGGCGGCACAGGCCCGTCCCAAGTGTCACATCTGCGCCGCCGTTGCGAGGTGCCTCGAGATGCCACCCCGAGACAAGGCCACTGGCACCACCCCCACTTGGCCGCCGGCCTCAAGCAGCGGAGGTCCCGCTGCCCAAGGACTTAAGTTCCCGCGCCCCCCACGCTGGGGGACCCCTTCGAGTAACCCCATCGGGCCTCTCAGGGGTGGTACGGCAGGCCCGCACCTACTGTGG